GACGTCACAGGCTCCAAGTGTAACGAGCTCCCGATGAGGCCAGTCATATTGTGCGATCACGGCACGGCGTTGGTAGGAATGGCGTTTCCCGATAAATATCTGTTGTAAATACACGGCCTGGGTTTCCAGATGGCGTGCGGTATTTTTCGCGGCGCGTATGACCCCAGAGTCCCAAGCTGGCAGCTCCGCCTGCGGCGAGGGCTGGCAATCTGTTCCGTGTTGACTGTCCGCGTGCCAACAGGGCTATTTGTCCCCGGTGAGTCGGCGGTCATATTTCTCCGTTCAAGGTTGCGACCTCAAGGTCACTACTTCTCACTTCCAGCGTCTGCATGTGTGGAAAACGAGCAAAGCCTCATTGCGTGCAAATCGCCGCTTATTCCTGCTCTGAGTTTCAGCAGTTAGCAATCGTTTCCACCGGCCGTCCGCCGGTGTACGCTACTACGTGCCACACCACTTAGACACACGCCAGTTGAGTAGCCGTCAATGGGTAGTGTAACCAGTCAGACGGCCCGTGGTATCCCTTCCCTGCAGAGGTACGCTGCTGCTGGCTCTAGGGACGTGTGCAGGAGTTGCGTTGTCTCTGGTTTTGAACGGGGGGGGGGGGGGGGCAGCGGAGGAGGAACATCGCCAGGCGAAGGCCGCCGGCCTTGCGCGGGCAGCAGCTCGATCTGCCGGTGAGATGGGGGGAGACCGGGCCCTGGTGCACGCACACTGCTGCAGCTATATCTGGCCATCGCACGCACGTACGCGTTGTCCCGTCCTTGACGCCGGTGGATGTCGCCACCGATTCTGCGTAGGAAATCGGTCACCGCGGATTCTGCGCCCTGTTCGACACTGGAGACAGGTCGGGGAGGGCGCGATAAAATCAAGAATTCGCAACCGCAGACCGCGACGATTGAGAAATCGTGTGCTCGATGATGGATACCTTCAACAGGGAGCTAAATGAATATCTAAAGGAATATACGGGGCAGAACAAATAAATGGCGTATTACATGTTCGCTCACTCTGGATGAACGTCTGTTTGCGAGTGTCTAGCATACGGCATGTCTTCGTTAGCATCAGGCCACTTTTGCTGACAGCAGCACCTCATCTGGAGCACAAAAGCGTAGCAAGCATTCAAATGCCGCCGTGTTTAATGTTGTCACGCACGGGGCTTCCTGGCATGACAGCTGCCTCAACGACAGCTACCACGTGCTGCCCGGAAGGCCCGTGTTCGGGGTCTGAGTCCTCCGCCTTTGGTTTCAGGGGAGACTCGCGGCACATGCCGGTGCCAGTCTGCGAGCTCGAGGCGGCGCGGCCCCCTCCGGCCGGCCGCTGCCGGGGCCCGCGCGACCTGCCGCCGCCTTACCTCGACGTCATCGCCGAAGAGCCTCCTGCCTACGACTCGGTCTGCATCGAGGACGACGCCAAACGAAGCAGTGTCGTTGACATTGTGTGACTGGAACGGCGCGGTCCGAGGGTCGGCGGCGCATTCTGGACTGGAACGGGTCTGGCCCCGGACTAGAGCAGGTCTGACCCCGGACCGGAGCGGATCTGACCCCGGACCAGAGCAGGTCTGACCCCGGGCCGGAGCGGGTCTGACCCCGGACCGGAGCAGGTCTGACCCCGGACCGGAGCGGGTCTGACCCCGGACCGGAGCAGGTCTGACCCCGGACTGGAGCGGGTCTGACCCCGGACTGGAGTGTGTCTGACCCTGAATGGTGCGGGTCTGACTCCGGACTAGAAGGTGTCGGGATCCCGCATGACCTTCCTACATGCGCTGCCACTACGTAATCTGGGTTACGTGGACCCGGTATCCGGGGTATAGTTACGCAAAATGACTTCCCGAAAGGGCGGGGGGGGGGGAGGGCTGATTATTGACAAATGACGCAACTTACTCCTAAAATATGTCCACGAACGGGTTTTCCCCGGAATTTCACCGGACATCCTTCTCGAAGTCAAGAACGGGCTGAACCCCCCCCCCCCCCCCCCCGGACCGAATAGGAACCCCAGTCGGGATTTGATGCTTGACCTGGTAGTGTGACGGGATTCTCGCGAGTGTATGTTCAGTCGCCCTCGTAGCGGGCGACTTGCACCCGTGTCACGGGTCGGGCGCGACTAAGGCTTGCACCCCGTGTTCACGGTACCGGGCGCCGACTAAGGCCGCGGTATAAGGCGTCCGCGGGCCCCGCCTCGGACAGCGGGGGACTCCCCGCCGTGACGGGCCCGTCGGGCCGGCCAGTGTTGCCAGTGACCCGAGTTGACCCGGTGGGCCGCCGGTTCAGCTCTCTGTGTTTCGTTTCGGCCCCGGTGGTCTTGGCAGCGCGGTTTGGGGCGGCAGACACTTGGGCCGTCGTCCGCCGGAGGGGACGCGGACACGTCGTCCGCACCGCTGGCATCCTTCCAGCACGGACGGCGGACAAACACGCAGAAGAATCACGGGCACTTGTTGCACGCTAACCACGAAAAAATGATGTTGCGAGTGTAACGACCTGTTGGATCACAAGCCACGTCGTCCGAATTAGAAGCTGAGGCTGGGTTGAAGCGCCGCCAAACGGCCCAACAGGCCGCCGCGGCTCTTGTCTTCATCTGCAGCTGGGAGTTCCCACCTCGCAACGCTGCCAGATGGGGCCTTCACCCACCCTGTATCACACCGCTACGCTACGTTCTGGAAGTAGTGCTACCCGCCGTTGGCTGAGTTAGGGAAGGAGCGGCCTCCGGTGCACCCTATGTTTGTGATAGATGATGTACAACTCTGACAGGCGACAGCAGTTCACTACTGTTTTCTGCGAACGGGTACAAGGTGCGTGATGGCTTCGTTTCGTCCTGTCGTCGGCGTGGACGGCGAAAATGACGCCCTTCTCGCCCTCCCAGATGAAACTCTTCGAGACCGGGATCGTTAATCCACGGCAGGCAGCCAGTGCTCGGTGATTTTCTGTGTTACCTTGAAACATGACGTCATTAGATCACGTTTGGTGCCAGCGATCCGTGAATCTACTGTATTCGCTGACCGTCGCTGTGGTGCCGCAGCGCGGTGCTGGGTGGGTCAGGCGAGGTTGTGAGTCGCCAGCGGTGACTGCAGGTTTGCGGTGCGGCGGTTGTCCGTGTGCTGGGTCGCATACAGTGTCGGCTTCTGCAATGCCTAGACATTGCCAGCAGGCACCGACTGACTCGGGTGTTGACAAGCCAGATGTGGCCGTCGGTTCGCTAGGTGGTAGGGAGATGGGTACGCCGGCCACGCGGTACGAGTAGCGTGCATGCAATTTTGTACTCAAAGGTGTTTTGTATGTTTGTACTCATCAGCTACTGACTGCTGCGAGTCAGCGAATGAGTGGGATCACAGGTCTTCCAACCCGTAGCGAACCCCATCTCATCGTCATGGCTCTCGCAGGGCGCCCGCCGCCGGTGAGCCCGATTTGTCCGGAGGCACCGTACAAAAAGGCCATCATTACTTCCGTTCGCAGCCGCCCAGGCGAGCCACCTCGCGCGCGCCCTGCGCGGAACAGTTCCGTCCTGGTGCACGCAAAGCGACGTTGAGCTTTGTCCTTCACCACTAGGTGGGCATGAGCTCAGCCCTTGTGAACCGATAGCGCATGTTTGTGAACGCGCTTCTCGAAGAGCTTGGTTACCGAAAGTGGTTCCATACATGTGCATAGATATGAAATAAACGTGTATTACGACTCTTTGGTAATATTGAGCCTAGGTGTAATGGGCGAAGAACCTAGCGCATCCCAGGAATATAACCATCTAAGCAAGATCTTTAATTCGCACGTAGCCTACATGAGATTCACCGTCTTGAGTCCCCCCTCCCCCTCGCGCGCCAGGATTTACGCCATGGCACCTTAGCACACGCCACCCCACCCTGTCTTCCGGGTTGGAACGGGACGGGACGGGACGGGACGGAGGCACATGTAGATACAGAGGCAGAGGCAGGGGCAGGGGAGGTGGCGGAGGCGGAGGCCGGAGATTGAGATGTAGACGGGGACGGAAACAGATACAGAGCTGCGAGGCGCTATCGCTAGGGGAGGCCACCCGAACCGCGCTCGCGGGACCGAACCGACGCACACACCTGCCATGCCGTTATAGCGCACTTTGTGATGAGCACCTCCCAGAGGGAAACGGGAAGAAGGACTTCCAAAACCACGGTCGTAGCAACCCAAACCCATAAAACTTTGTCTGATACGACGAAACGTCGCCCCACCATAGATTCAACGCTGAAAGCAAATGAAGGAACTTTGCCAGCGGTCGTCCTTTCAGGTACTTGGTGCCATGGATAATAATAATAATATCACCGCGAATATCCCCGTGTCCTTTGCAGCAAAAATTATAACAATCAAAAACCATATGCCATGATTGCACATGCTATCTCCTGCTCACGAAGCAGTAAAATGTGACAGGAGTTTGGGGGGCATATCCAGCCAGACGGGCGCTGGCCTCAAACGCTCCAACAGTCGCCGTGCACCTTCTGGGCACACCGAGTCCCCATCGTGCGCCCATAGCGTGACCCCGCAGCCGGGCAGGTCACCCATCAGTGCCACCAACGCCTCCTCCGAAGCTAACGCCACGTCCGCGCGAACTGCCAGTGTGGCAGGGCGGCCACGCGCCAGTGTCGCCATCTCTGAGATCTGACTTAAAGTTAGGCTTCGCGTGCCTTCGCTAGGTGGGCACCAGCCGAGCGAGACGAGAGGTGGCAGCCGAGTAGCTTGGAGGCGCTCCAGCTGAGTAAGCAGCGTGTGGGCGTCCACAGCGGGCACCTCGGTTGCGCTGCCCACCACGTCGGCGTTCAGAACCAGTGGAGTCATGTCCTGTGGAAATGTAAACCGGTCATTCCTGTGAAGACACCAAATAGGCAATGTTTGAGTAACTTCACAGAGTATGAGACAAAGGCACCTCATATCTTCAGATGCACCAGATAACCACCACGGCTATCTCCTAGTCCTCAGAATATGCAATGAGAGACTAAGCAGAATTGTCATGAGGCATGACAAGTTTTCTGTGGTGCAGTCAGGTGCTTGAAGCTCAGTCAGATTTTATGTCATAGATGTTAAAAAACCTGGGGAAGCTAAGTCACACATATTTTTCCATGCAACACAACATAAGCCAGTGCCTCAATCCATCAATATGTTAACCCAGACATGACAAATCAACAATAAACCCCAAGCTGCCAGTTTATGCTACTTCCACTACAGTAGGCTTTTGTTTTGTAGCGTGACCACTGTGCAGTGACTGCGGTTGGATACTAATGAGAGCAGATGGTGTCACAAGTGCACTGGAGTAAACACCTTTCAGCAGTACAATGTTAAATCAGGCCAAGTTGTTATATCAAAATGTACAAGTCAACTGTTGGTGCAGCCAATGGTGCACCTACACCACATTCTGCACCACTAACAGCAGTATTCCTACTCATGTACTGTCAGGTGGTGATGCAGGATGATGTCCACCACTTGCTTAATGATCTGGTCAGTCTTCAGGTCCAGCTTGAGGATTTTCTGTGTGCCAGACCGCTGCACAATGGCCAGGAACTGGGCTGCCGTAAGGTCCACCTCAGCTGGTGCCAGCAAATACCATGGTCACAAACACTTCACCAAGCAATGGCACTGGTGTGTGTAAGATGAGTGTACCTGATGTCACTGAAATATAAAAAATGACTAGCAGCTGAAGCATGCCATGCTTTCTCCAATTTTTAACATGGTTGTGGTGGGTAAAGAGTACATCACTGACGGGTAAAAATGCACCCTGGGTGGGTAAAAGATGCATTGCTGGCAGGTGTAAGGGTATAATTAATGGATACAAAGTGTATCTCTATGGGCTGCCACAAATGAAGAGACCACAGATGCTTTCAAAAATGCCAACTTAACCAGGTAAGACAGGTGAGCCATCAAATGGTTTACCTGTCAGTGGTAAGATCAGGAGTGTTTCATCACTCACTTGCTGGTGGGTGAAGCATAACAGGCACTTGCTCATCAGCAGGCAGTGAGCTGACATCTGCCTCCAGGGCATCTACAGAAGCATTACCCAGTGCTGCCACAAGCTGATGTCTTGAGTTCACTGCATGTGCCCAGCGCAGTGTCCTGGCACCACAGCCACAGAAGGCAGGATGCATGATTACCACCTTCCATCAGTCACATTAGTGGTTAATGTTGGAGTCATATTCCTTGCTTTTTATAGAACTGCAGCCAAATCAGTTCAGAAATTCTGTGGATTATATATCAATCTTGTATGCTGGGAGCCAGCAGTTCAATAAGATAGCCAAGCAAAACTTGGAAGATTAAAATGAGTTAAAACTGAAAACATCGCGCATAATGTCCATATTTAACCGGACTTAAGTAATTTCTCCAAGATTTTAGATGCTAGTGGGGTAATAATGGCAGGCCTACAGCTGCCAACACCCGTTTTTGGTCCCCTTCTTAAATGTAAGGGGCTGGACATGCCATGTGACCTTGGGGTGCCCGTGGTGTAGCGGTAAACGGTCAACGCGTATGCGTTAACCACTACGCGTCTGGGAAGCCAGAAGTACGGGGTTGGATTCCCTGGGTTGCCCGCCCTTCCTGCCAGGGTGAGAGGCAGGCGACGCCAATGCCATAGAACAAAGGCCGCTCCACATAGCCTCACCAGCTGAGTGCGTCCTGAAGGCCCCAATGACATGACATACCAGACGACCTTCGCGCCGCCAACCACCAGGTGGCGGCCGGCCGCCGGTCGCCAGTCACCGCGCGCGCCTTGGCCGCGCGTCTATTTGGTTTGCAAGTCGCTAGAGATTTCTCCTGGAGAAATATCTCAAGACAGGCATGGGAGCTCCAGCTAAATGGGAACCAAGCTGACATATTGAGCTGCACCCACCTGAAACTAAGCTGACACTTGATTTCATGTGACTGTGGTCGAGCAGTTTTGAATGCGGTGAACAGTCACGCCTCTGCATTAGCAATCATTTTAATAGATCTAATCTGAGCCCTTTGAATAGATGGATTTTTGGGATTAGAGCTCACGCCAAGCAGTGGCTGCTGTGCGAGCCACGACCCCGATCACCCGAATGCACAATTCCATGTCCCTGACGGAATTTGGTGGCAAAAAGACGTGCCACGATGCTCGGCACCACCCGTCCTGCCCTTTAACGTCCTCTGACCTTTCGCGTGGCCGCTGTCACCGGGCGCAAATACTAGTCAAGAAAAAATAGCAAGCGCCGAAACCGACCTGCACTCAATCCACCACGGGTGGGTGGATCAGAAGGCACACACTCAAACCAACTGATCCACCGGGACGGAATAAGCGACGTGGGCTCATTTAGACACTTCATGATCTTCAAGAACCAGTTCAATGTACCCACATTGTTAACATTTCACGCCTTGCACCAGCAATGAACTCATTGGTCTTCTTCCAAACCAGAAGTGTAATTTCCGTTTCAGTTGAGGAAGGGGGAGGCTTCGGTTCCCAACTTGGGCACCAGGCCCCTCCAATTTGGGCAGAAGTTGGGCAAAATCTAAGGAGTAGCCTATGTGTTGGAATATCTTGGAGGTTGGCTCTGTCGTTTTTCCGTGATCAGCTCACCCTAACCTAACAGGGACGTAGTTTTGCACAACTTTGTCTTTGTTGCAGGCACTTCATTTTGCAACATGCCAGCTTAAGCAGAATGGCAGTAGCAATCTGAGGGCTGCTTAATTCTATATTTTCAGCTAAATGCAAGGCAAGAGGATTGGTGATGATTTGTATGTAGTTTCTATATTTCAGGTTACAGCGCTACCTAGAAGACAATTTGGGAAGACGCCTTTCTTATTGACAAAGGTGCTGCTAAATTAAGCTTATTTATTAAAAAGCAGAGCTAATTCTGGCACCAGATCTGATAAGGACTAGCTTTCTCAGATCTGTTGAAATAGCGGCTAGCATTTGGTCTCCACACAGCACTCGACTTTACTCAGGAATTAAATACACAAGAACACTGCCAGAGCCCTGTTTCTCCCTTTCAGTACCTGTATCGAACCGGCATTTAACATGCCTAAAATAAGTGATGTCAAAAAGTCAGTCATTAAATTCAGGGGTGGAACCAGCAATTGATTTTGAAAAATCAAGAAAAATGTGCACATATATTCAATAATGCACTTACCCCATTTACTCCTAACACAATACTCGGTACACGCGCACCACCAATGACACTGCCATTTCAACGTTAAATAGCCCCTTTCAGTATGGCACGTACGGGGACACGGGAGGCACGTGCACCCCCTCCCCTCTTAGGTTCCGGGGGGCCCGAAGAGCCCCTCGGAGCCTACGATTCAGGACGCGATTTGATGGCCCGAAGAGCCCGAAAAGCCAGCCGGAGGTCTTATTCAGGGGCCCCGACTCGCAGGGCCTTGCACCGCATGCCAGCCAGAGGGCCCTGAGCGCTGATCAGGAGCACACTGAGTCGACAAGGTCTTCTTATATTTCAGTCAGACACCACGCGGCCTGCGGGGACGGGGCCTCAAAGAACAGTCAGAGGGCACTTTGCACCGATCGGAAATCCCATGCGTCACTATGGGCCTATATGTTGGTCAGGCACCACTACAAACGCACAGTCGGCTCCGTGGCGGCATGGGCCTAAAGGCCCATTTCCCAAGCTGGGACAAAGCCGAAGCCAGCGATTTAAATTGCCCGGGGCCGCACAGCGCCTAACAGGGGCCCTGTGTTGTCAAGGGGCCCTGAGCCGGCCAGAGGCAGTGTTCGAGGTGGCCCGAACAGCCTAGAGAACTCACCAGCTTAGACAATCAAGGCCTGATTGAAGGATCTAAGGGCATAAAGAGCTGGTCGGAGTCTTATTCAGGGGCCCCGACCTGCAAAGACGAACCTTCAAATAACGGTCAGAGGGCCCTTTGCGCCGATCGGGGACAGCCTGAGACGATATGGGTCGATATGTCGGTCAAGTACCACCGTACCACATAGTCGACTCCATGTCGGTGCGGGCCTGAGGACCCACTTTTTAATCAGCTATATATATACAAAGCCGGGGGACAGTGATTCACATTGGTCTTGGGCCTTGCATCTGCCAGGGGCCCACAGCGCCTTACAGAGGGCCCTGTGCTCGCAAGGGCCCCGTTACGACCAAGGGAAGTGTTCGATGAGGCCGAAGAGGGGCCCGGGCGGCCCACCGGGGCCGACGATCAAAGGCCCGGTTGGAGGGCATAAGGGCCCAAAGTACTGGCTGCAGGCCACATAAGAAGCGCGGCCTTTAGGGACATGACATGAAATACCAGTCAAAGATCCTCTTGCACCGTTTGAGGAATCCCTGAGACAATGCGGGTGTTTCGGTCGGTCAGAGACCACGAACACCGAACAGTTGACTCCCTGTCAGACAGACTCCCTGTTAGGGGCTGCAGTGCCAAACTGGGGTCCTGTGGCGGCAAGTGGCCCCGAGTCGGAGCGTTGTTTAAGAGGGCCCGAAGGGTCTCTAGAGCAAAGATCAAGGGTCCGAAGGGGTGGCTGAAGGGTCCGGAGGGCTGTCTGTAGGTCATATTAAGGACCCCGACAATCGGGTCGTGATCTCCAATGTCAGTAAGATGATCTCTTGCACTGATAGGAACCCTGAGACAGAAGGTTTCTCTATTTTTGCCAGAGATACGAACAATTAACAATTGGCTCAGTGTTGGTCTGAGCTCTGGGGGCCCATTTCCCAGCGGGGACAAGGCCGGGCCCGCAGATTGCGTTGGTCGGGCTCCTGCATCGTTCAGGGGCCCACAGTTTCTATCAGGGCATTCTGTGTCAACGAGGGGCCTCGAATCGGTCAAGGGAAGATAGTGCGCATGTTCTCGATCAAAACCTACCCGTTCTGCCTCTACCTTAAAGGGAGCGTTCCACATTTACATGGGGTTTTAAACTGAAATAACCATCTTGAATATTTTTAGTGCTGTTTACAATTCTGCCCTTCTCAAGGCCCAATCTCCTTTAGTTTCTAAGTTACACGCCTTCGAAAATGGGGAAGGGTGTATCGGGGAGAGCATTTCAAAGTCATCTTGGCATTAATGACTCTATAATAACGTCATTCAAATGCGCCATTCCATAAGCCATGCGGAGATCAAGGCCAGCACAAATTTCAGTGTCGAAGCGTTCATGTCTGGTGTTCGTGAGCACGTCTCCAGATATCATTGCCGTCAATTGGCTTTCAAACAATGTTGTGCAAGGCATGATGACGTAATCAAAGCATGAAGTATTAGAGGTATATATTCCAAACAGAGAGTTACGCTGTCTTGAGCAGTCTTTTCCACTTAAAAAGCATATGAATAGTTATATGTGAGCTTGTTTCATCACATCTGATGCTTGCTTCAAGACCATTAAATGTGAAACCTACATATCTCCCATGCTACCTAATGAACTTAACATGCCAGGCCAGTTAAGAAAACTGCGTTGAATAGCTCTCGGAAAACTCTGGACATAGGCGCTAATGAACGTCGACTTGTAAGACCAATGGTATGTTACATCAGACCAAATAGGTGAAGGCGCCAAAACACAACGACCATAATCCATTCCCATGAATTATCATCATAACACTCTTGCCATCTGGAGACAAACATAAGATGCGAACGACATAACGTTACGCGACAAAATGAACTCGCAGTACATCATTTGGCATTGGCCTGCTGATGCACTTCCATCCAGGCCTGCACCGCTGGGTGCCATTTTGAATGGGGATAGCAACGTCAGATGGATCGGTTGGTCGAGATACGGGTGCCCTAACTCTGAATGATCTTCGTTAACAGCACCGTCAAGGGCGCCGTCAGTCGACCTTCGTGGGTCGCGGTCCCAGCGTCCTGCAGGCTCAAACAACACACTCTATCAATGTCAGGTTATTTGACAGTGGATTTCGACATTCAAAGTCCCAACATTCAGACAACAGCCTTATCAGTGTCAAAGGACTGCTCCTCGGTGTCCCGAACTGATACCTTCTTAACCTTGATATCTCTATCCCAACTTGCTGAACGTTGACCTCGGTATCCACGCGTGGAGTCAGCGATTTTGAGTAAAACGCATGTTGCCCAGGCCAGTATGTACGTACATTCAGGGCACGTTCGATAGGCCGCGTCGCAGCTGTCATCTGTGTCCCGTGTGACGCAGCAGTCAAGAGTTCGCCATGCTGACATTCCCGCACAAACGCAGCAGATAATGACAGCGCCACTCAACTGCAAATGTCATCGAACATGGCCGATTTGATAGGCTTTGCTGAATGTTTGAGTAGGCGGAACGAGTGACGTCCCCACGCTGTTCCTGATCCGGGTCTGCCACTATATAAGGTGATTGCAAAGGACGGTCCGGCGTTAGGTGTTGAGCTGTCTCTCGCCAGTCATGCGTCTGCTCCCCCTCATTGTCGTGTTTTGTCTGGTGCTGGTGGCCGCTGGAGGTGAGTTGCCGGTGGAGTTTGAGGTTATGAATTAATTTTCGCCAGGGATTGTCGGTTGCCTTCGGTTGGAATGTGACCCTTGGGATATTGTGAATTCCCCCGATGATGTATTACAGCAACTTGGTCTGCACGTTATCGCTGATCACTGACACCGGACGCATATCCGGAAATGGTGCCTTTCGTCATAGGGGCGTAAGTAAAACGCGTGAAATGTATAGGTGATTTCTTCGGTAGATAT